CCCTCCCCCACGCCCCCTCACACACACACAGAGCTTCCTGTTCCTGGTGGTTCCCACCTTCCTCGGAGTTACTCCCTGCTCCCGTTAACCCTGGGCTCAGTTGGGATTTCCAGTCATTAGCCCCGGCCACAGCTTCATGTCATGGAGATTTACGTGTCCCTTTCGCTGGAGCTTGGGAACCTGACCTGCCCCAGGAACTTTATGAAGTCTGGCTTCCCCGGCTCTTAGGACACCAGAGCAGAAGAACTTGAAAAGAGAATTAAAAAAAAAAAATCATGATCCTTGATGTTTCTGAGATGAACTCCTTCTAACACAACTGGCAACTCTGTCTCAGAGATGGAGGACAGACAGACTCCTCGCCCTTCAGAGGAGGTATTTGCCCCGCAGGAGAGAGAACGGGAGTGATCCGAGCCTTTGCGCTGGTTCCCTCCCCCCACCCGCCCTGGGTTTTCTCAGAGGTCCTGGGTGGGGGGAATTCGGGTTGTGCATGAGCTCTGGACCCAGATCTGCGGCAGCTCCAGACTCTGCTTCTAGAGACCCGCACTTCTCTGCTTTCAAAAGCATCTGTGAAACCAGGCCCCATTCCTTTCTCTGTAGTCACTAGATTCCTTTTTTGGGGTTGGCAGTGGTGCCGCAGCCCCAGGACCTGTGAGGGCATGTGAGTGGCGGTGGGGCTGAGACTTGCCCTGGGGGGTTCTGAGTGTGCCAGCACAGGGTGTTCCGCTAGTCTCCCTCCCCTCCCTTCCCAGTTCCTCCGCCCGCTCGCTCCCACAGACTCTGGGAACCCTGAGGTGGGAGAGAGCTCTTACCCGGGGAAGCGGAGCCATCAGATCGCCCCAGCTGCCTACACTTTGTTCTCAGCTTCCCTTCCTCATCCCTCCAGCCACTCCCAGGGTCTGAAGCACCAGCCCCATCTGAACACCCCTCCCACTTTGACGGAGGCTGGGCTGGCCAGGGGGTTATTTTGGGAGCAGCTTCTGAGATCCAATGGCCTTGTTAGGGCAACACTGACCTTTCTGTCCCGGGAGGAGGGCAGGATTGGACAGGGGCGGGGCAGCCTCGAGGAGATCGACGGCCCTGCACACCCCACACCCACGGGTGGAGGCGAAGGGGCCAGCGGGCTGCAGGAATTCAGCCTGGGGGCTGGGACGGTCACCCAGGGGAATTTCCCTCTTTGAGACGGACTGGGGTCCCCGCCACCCCACCCTTTCGCTGTGCTTCTTAAAGGGATCACAGCGTTTTTCCTTTGACTCCATGGAAGCCAGACTCGGGATGCTCTGTGGAGGCTTTGAATCTCTCCTTCCTGCTTCCTTCCCAACTGGCAGCCTTCCTCTGGCTGACTGAGAGGGGCCTCCCAGGCATGGCACTGACCAGCCCACCCAGTGCTGACTTGGCTCCTGGGCTCACTCAGCCTCTGGTGGCATCTTGCTTTCCCCCTGCTGGGGTGCGGCGGTGGTGAGTGGGGGGCCCCGGCCTGAGCAAGCTTGGAGCGTGCCGCTGGCACCCCCATCGCCCTCGACCCCCAAGCTGGAGGGCAGTCAGGTTGTCGGGGGCTATGATGAGATGAGTGGGGGCCGCTTTGACTTTGACGACGGCGGGGCGTACTGTGGAGGCTGGGAGAATGGAAAGGCCCACGGGCACGGGCTGTGCACAGGCCCCAAGGGCCAGGGCGAGTACTCGGGCTCCTGGAACTTTGGCTTTGAAGTGGCGGGCGTCTACACCTGGCCCAGCGGCAACACCTTCGAGGGATACTGGAGCCAGGGCAAACGGCATGGGCTGGGCATAGAGACCAAGGGACGCTGGCTCTACAAGGGCGAGTGGACACACGGCTTCAAGGGACGCTATGGAACCCGGCAGAGCAGCAGCAGCGGAGCCAAGTACGAGGGCACTTGGAACAACGGCCTGCAGGATGGCTACGGCACCGAGACCTATGCAGACGGAGGTGAGCCCAGCCGGGGCCTGCAGCGGGGGTAGGGCCCAGGTGGTGAGGAGCACTGGCGGAGGCGGAGGAGCAAGGGGCACGATGCCACAGAAGCAGAGGGGCCAGGGAGTTATTTACCGTGTGACTTCAGGCAAACTACCTCTCCAGGACCCACTCTCTTGTTAGGAAAGGTGGGGCCAGTCAAGGCCTATGGAGAGGACTGGCAAGAGAGCTTAGTAAAGGCCTGCCATGTAAACGCACACCCAACACACATTCATTAAGATGTAACTGCTGCTGTTCACATGCTAGGTTTGCCATCAACTGTGGAATAGACTCTAGCTTGTGCTCCAGGAGAATTGGGGTCTAGGCTCAACTTTGCCAAGAAAATGATTTTCAAGGAATAGATCATAAAGTATTCATTCATTCATCCACCCATCCATCCATGCATGCATTCTTTTGTTCGGTGCATATTTCTGTGATACTTCCTATTTGCAAGCCTTGTAAAGGGACATAAAGAGGAATAAGAGACAGCCCATGGCTTCAAAGATAGGCTTGTAGACAAACCATTACATTCAAGTATGTACAGAGTGCTGTGGCAGTAAAGAGAAGGATGCTTTAGAAGAGGGGACGTGTGAGTTGCATCTTGATGGGGAAATTGCATTTGTGAGGGCGGGAGTGGGAGAGAGAAAAATAAGTAAAAAGCTCAGAAGCAGGAGAGAACTCAGCGGGTTCAGGAAACGGAGAGGAATTTTCTGTGGCAAAACAGCCCTGGGAATTGGCAGTATAGATATCATCACCTCCTCCACTGGGGGTAACTTTGAACATATCACTTATCTGAGCTTCAGTTTCCTCATCCATAAAATGGGGTATTTTCAAATAAGTACTCAAAATGTAGTCAGTGGACAGGTAGCATCAGAAATATATGCAAATTCAGGGGTTCCCCCCAGACCTGCTAAATCGGAATCTGAGGGTCAACCCAGACATCTATTTTAAGCTCATCCAGCAATTCTCATGCACGTTAAAGCGTAAGGAGTATTGCTTTAAAACAGGGGCTTGCACACTTTAGAGAGCAGGCCAAATTGGCCTGCTGCCTGCTTTTTGCAGCCTGGGAGCTGACAGTAATTTCACATTTTGAAATGTTTGGGGGGAAAAATCAAAAGAACAACACTGTTTGTGAAAATGATATGAAAGTCCCTACATGACATCCTCAATTTTGTCTCTTGGCTCAAAAGCCTAAAAGATTTACTATTTGACGACAGGAAAAGTTTGCTGGCTCCCGCTGTAAGTGTTCATTCAGGGTCCTTCCAGCCCAGGGTTATTCTGTGCCTCCCTCACGTGCCCTGTTGGGGAGAGGCGCTGACACATAACGCAAAGCTATGGTTCATTGAAAAAAACACGTATTTGGCGCCAGAGGACACTGGAGCAGGGGGCAGGAAGGACATAGTCAGCCCAGCGTTTGCTCAAGCTGAGGCCCTTGGGCATGTAGAGAGAGTGGTCCCCGGTGCAGGATGGGCTGACTGGGCTGCCAGTCGGTGTGTATCTGGCGAGGGCCCACCCTCGAAAGTGTCTGGATGTTAACGAGGTTATATCCCTGGAGTTTCTATGTGTGCCATGGCGGTGGCACAGCACTGGCTGGAACTGGACAGCACTGAGGACAAATTCTGGTACCACACTTCCTAATTCAGTGACCGTGAGTTGTTGCTGAACTTCTGCAATTCAGTGCAACGCAATTCACTAGATGTTTGTGCCCAATACTATGCTAAGCACTAGGGACAAGCAGAGAGCAGGCCTCAATTTCTCTGGCTGTAAGATGGAGATAACCCGTGAGTGCTTGCCAGGTACCAATTCCTGTTGCAAAGTGGTGCACAGTGCATGGGTGTCAAATGTTTTTTCTTTCCCCTTGCAAACCAAGGTGTGTGTGATTGGGGTCTGGATGTGAGTCCCAGGGACACATATTTTTGGGAAGCTATAGGTTGATCTCCTGATATGTCTAAAGGGAGTGGGGAGGGGGGGGGAGGCCCATTTATTCACGCAACCAGTATTACAGAGCATCATCTATATGCCAGGCACCACCCTACATGAGTTCCAGGGGCTGGGGCAGTGAACAAGCAAAGTCCTCGGGAAGCTTCCTGTCTCATGAAGACAGAAATAAACTGGAAAACACATGTAATTTCCAGAAGTTGCGAGTGTTATGAGAAAAAAAGCAAAGAAGGAAGAGGGTGATGTTTTGGATAGGGTAGTCTGAGAAGCAGGCTGGAGAGTCCTAGAGTGAAGACTTCCCCGCAGCAGGAGTGGCGCTTGCAAAGGCCCTGAGGCAGGACTGGGCTTGGGGTGCTTGAGGAACAGCAAGAGCGCCAGGGTGTCAGGAACAGAGTGACTGAGGGGAGCAGGCAGCGGCGGCCCGGAGATGTGGGCATGGGCCAGATCAAGAAGGCTTTGCAGGGGCCTGGGTATGATCCGAGGTGTAGTCAGGTGACCAGAAGACCTGGTCCAGCCTCTTTTCCTAAATGAGAGAACCCCACTTTCAGGCAGCCTAGAAACCTCACAGATCCTCTCTCCCAAGCCACACACGAGGTGCAACTCTCCAAAATTAGATGTGGCCACTGCTTTGGAAAATCTCTTTAATCAACCTGTCATCGGTTCCCCGAGGGTTTGTTAAGGACCTGCCCTTTGCCCCATTCTGGGTAGCGCTGGGCGGAATGTGGACAATTAAGATCCTGTGCTTAGGAAGGTTGGGAGTCGGGTAGCCCTGGGTTATTACACATCCTGGCTCCATCGCATTCTTTAATCTCTTAGAGCCTTAGTTTCCTCATCCATAAAATCAGTTTATCCTAATCTCTACTAAGACTTCACATGGGATAAATGGGCACTCAATAAATGGTAGCTGCTGCCCTGGTTGGTTTTCTCAGTGGTTAGAGTGTCAGCCTGCAAACTGAAGGGTCCACGGGTTTGATTCCTGGTTAAGGGCGCATACCTCGGTTGCAGGCTCAGTCCCCAGCCCAGACCGGGGTGTGTGTGGGAGGTAACCAATCAATGTGTCTCTTTCATATCGATGTTTCTCCCTCTCCCTCTCTCTCTCTCTCTCTCTTTATCTCTCTCTCTCCCTCCCGCCACACACACCTTCTAAAAACAAATCAATGAAAAAAAATGTCCTCGGGTGAGGAATAATAAATAAATAAATAAATAAATGGTAGTTGCTATTATTACTATTAACTATCATTAATTCATTCAATAGAAATGTATTGAGTGATTTTTATTTAGCCAGCACTACACTACACTGGGTGGTGGGGGTAGAGTAGAGAAATTAACAGAATGAAAAAGGTACCTGCCTTCCAGAGAATCTAATATGAAATTGTACTAAGTGTGTGTTGGCTACCAGGCAGGGGAGTACCCACCGGGGACTAAGGGAGCCAGAGGCAGGCAGCTAACCAGACAGGCATTCGGGTGGGCTTCCTGGAGTAAGTGGCAAGCCAGGCTCCTATGTATAGAGTCAGCCAGGTGACAAGGATGGAGGACTAGTGCTCCAGGTGGAGAGAAAGGGTACAAAGTCAGGAGGTCCAAAACTTGCTGTCCAGCCGGAGACTGAGCTGAAACTTGCATCTTCTCCGAAGTTCTGAGATGTCGTGATCAAAGGGACCATGTGCCCCATTTCCTCCACTCCCCACCTTACCTGGCAGTCAAATGGTATAGGTGCCTGCTGTAAACCGAAGAAAACTGCACTCTTCCAAACTGGAGGTGTCAGTCCATTAACAGGTGGCACAGTGGGTCATGACCTGCATTTTTTCTAAGGAAAGAATAGAATAGAAAACATCACAGTGTTTCATAGAGAATAAGATAAAGTATTGTTTCCTAAAATATTTGTTCAGTTGGAGACATAGTGTGTATATATGTGTGTGTGTGTGTGTGTGGGTGTGTGTGTGTACACACACACACATACATATATACACTGAGTGCCCAGATTATGACCGGCCAGATTATTATGACCACCCCCTCAGTACAGTGAAGTGAATTAGTTATGCAAATAATAATAATAATAATAAAACCTTGAGAGTATTTGTTTAGGAAGTTTTTAATATTCAGTATTTTTAGAAGTGTCAATGAAGTACCGATGCGTGGTCATAATAATCTGGCCGGTCATAATAATCTGGCCACTCAGTGTGTATAAATGTCTACGTTTTTGTGTGTATTATAATAGCAACTTTATTTCTTACTAAACTTTTGTATCGTGGTCAGAAAGTTTGAAAATCATGATTCTAAAGTGTCTCTCTTGCTGGAGGGTGAGCCCTCCCATTGTCTGGTGGGAAGGGGACGGTGGTACAGGCACAGGGGCTCTGGCCCCTAAACCTGCTGTAAGCCTCCTGGCACCCTCCCCGTGCCTATAGCCCTTTACTCCCCTGGCACCCTCCCCCTGCCTATAGCCCTTTACTCCCCTGGCACCCTCCCCGTGCCTATAGCCCTTTACTCCCTGGCCATATATAGCCAAACTAAAAATAGCTGCTGACTTACGGTAAAACTCCAAAGCAAGCATAGCCGGGGCCCTCCAGTAGTACACTGCGGGGTGCCTGGCTGTTCCCAGAAACCCGCAGACTTCAGGACTAGAAGGGCCTTCAGTGAGCAATGGTTTCTGAGGTTGTGGACCTGGGCCCCAAGCCTTGGCCTCAGAGGCCTATAAATGCCCTAAAGCTGAGGCAAGATGTATGCAATGCCAGATGTGTGCATACGTGCATGGACTATCTATGTTCCTCTGGGAGGTGTTTCCTCAGGAAGCCTCAGATTCTCAAAATAATCTGGTGCTCAAACAGGTTATTAAACAAAGTTCCCCAACTATTGATCTAACTCAATAATCCCCTCGCCCAAATGTGCAGTGGAAAAACCAGCTTTTCCATAAGGCTATTAATAATAATAGTAATAATAATAATAATAATAATAGTTAACATTTGGGAAGTGTGTACAATGTGCAGGGCGCTGTTCTTGGCATATGGCACATGTGCTACTTAAACTCTCACAGCAACCTTACGGGG